CAGGTCGCGACCAATTCGGGTCGTGACCAGAGTCGTGGAACGAATTAAGTTCGTGACCTGAGGTACCACTGTACTTTAAAATATGAATGTTAAAAAGATCTAAGTTCAGATACCAATGTCTAAGCCATCTAACCATTGAAGCGCAGCATCATTTATACAAAAAAAATCAGATATTGGGTCATTATATGCCCTCAGCTTACAGCTGGTCACAATGTGGTCTATAGTTTCATGTGCAGCCCCGCAGTCACACTGAGGAGGATCAAAACTTAGAGCATATTAGAGGCTGCAAAATATTTTGAATTCAAAGACTTCTGAGTTCATAATGGCCCATTTTGAGCCCAAATTAGGCCATTTGAGCTTGAAACAGCTATTCTTAGTTCATTGAAAATGTTCAACAAATCTCTGATCTTATTGACAGTATTAGCTCAAAATATTTCAAATTTGAAACTTTTTGCACCTTTCTATAACAGACATTATTTAAAGCATGACCCTTGTGAATGGTAAGGCAAGAGCCAGCAGGAGAAAGTTATGAATTTTGTCAATAACCACCAAGCATTCATCTTCAAGGCTATGAAACACGGGGGAAAGGTTGGAAGAAGGAGCAATAGGTTTAAACTGCTCTGGGTATAAGAAAGGAACTGGGACCCTCCCACTGACAGAGGACAATCAGCTGCTCAATGTGGTTTCTTCTAATTTGGAATAAAGATTCTTATTTAGCCACACACACTAGATTGTGTTTAAGAATTTTCTCCAAGTCTGAGCTTAGCAGCCCAGTTAAGCAGTATGAAGTCAAGAGACTGAAATTTACTGCTGAAATCTGGCCCAGGGAGCATAAAAATATTTCCCTCTCTCTCTGACACATATACAAATTCAGCATAATCAATTTTGGATTATAAGGACAAGTTTTACCCCTATCTTAAATTTAGATAGGTTAAGTTTTAGTAACAGTAGTCCAACAACCTGCATTCTTGCGGCAGCTTAATATAAAACACAGTAGATTTTCAGCCCCAGTACTATCTTGCGAAACAGGTTTAGAACATTAAAAAGTAATTGTTGTTATATATTTTATTATTTAGTTATTCTTGTTTTTATTAAAGAATGTTATAGTTTCTTAATATTTATTTCTTTAGCAGTTTTAAAAAATATAACCAGAATGAAGAGATGAAATCCAAGTTGTCTGATGCTATGGACGCTGTTCCAGGTGAAGAACGTAGCTTGGCATGGGAGACCAATTCAAGTAGATGTTCCACATCCCATGCCTCAGAAACAAGCATCACATCTGGGGTATACAGTATGGAAAACTCATACACTGACTGTTCTCTGATGGAAGAGAGAAAGACCATGCAGGAAATACCAAGCAACTCAACACATCAGACACCAAATGAGAAGATAGGAACAGGCAGCCAAGAATGTGATTTTTCTAGGAGGTCAGCGCTGGGAAAAGCTGAAGAAAGAGAATTTGATCGAACTGATCCACAATCATGGCCCTCGCAAGTACAACCTTCTAAGATTAAAGACTATTTGGTTCAAATCACACAGGAAGTAGTGACTTCAGTGTCAGAGGAGAAAGAAAATGCTTTGATGAAAAAAGGGGAGCTTCCTCTCAAAGGAACAGTAAGAGCCAGGATTCTTCAAATCACTGCTGTATTGGAAGAAAGAAATAAAAAGATTTTCCGAAGGGTAAACAATAAAGATTTGCCTCCACCTTCAGAGGTTGTCAAGAAGCCAAGAGAACCACCCAAGGTATTCTCCAAACGAGGCATATCTGTATCTTTACGGCATGTTGAACAAAACACTGTACAGAAGGATAGCAAGAAGGAAGTTCCAGGTTATAATCTCAGGCATGTAGAGACAAAAAGGCCGAAGTCTGCACTTTACAGCAAAGAGCAGAAGCAACCACAGCATTCGTATCTTCCTAAATTGCAAAATAAGCCTTCAGAAAAGCTACCAAAAATTTCAACAAACCTTGCTGACAAAGCAAAGAAGCCAGAAACTAAACAATATTCACCTGCAACTCAGACGTCACTCCCTGAACTGATTCAACCAGCTAAGTCTGACAAAAGGGAAAAAAGGGAAAAACAGTCTCTTTCTCCCAATACATCAAATACCACACCGGAAAAATCATTCAACTTTGTTGATGAAATAGAAAAAAGGGAAATTCAGGCTCATTCACCAATGGCCTTGGGGGTTTCTAATATATTAAAAGAAGTGAGGCCACTGTCAGAGAAGGAAATAGCTCAGCCTTGTTCCCCTGTTCCTGCTGAGTTTCTTCCTTATGTTGCAAAAGAAGCAGAAAATCAGTCTGACTCAACTAGAACAGTGCTATCAGAAACTTCAATTCAACATGTGCAATACCCTCATAATATTACAGCTACTCCCTGTGAACCTGAAAGGTCTAACTTAACTGAAATTACAAATCAATCTATGAAATTTACAATTCCTTCACCACTGGAGGTCAAAGGTACACCCTTTGGGCAAGAAAGGATGGAGGAGCAATTTACTGCACTTTTCCAAACAAAGTCAGACCAGCTACCCTTGTTGTCTTTGGTTCAGGAATCAGGAACTCAAGAAATTGAATCTGTATCTGATTTACCAGCTATGCATGGTGAACCTGCAGTGTCTGATTTAGCTGAAATTAGAAATCAAGTTAGTGAGTCCACAACTCCTTCAGAAATGGAAGTCAAAGGTACACCCTTGGAGCATCCTGTTGAAGAAGCAGAGAAGCAAGCTGTTCCTCTTTATTCAACTGAAACCAAAAATGGCATCCCTGAAAAGGCAAGATTACAATCTTCTGTTAAAGAAGGAGAAAAGCAAGAAACAGAAGAGCTGGCCAGGGAGTATTCAGAAAAGAAAAGGGTACGGGACAAATTAACTATACCTTTTGAAACAAAGTCAGACCAGCTAGCCTTGTTTGGGTGTCTGGACCACAAAGCAGAAGCTTGTGAAACTGAACCTGCATCTCATTTAGCAGCAAGGCTTGGTGAGCCTGAAGTGTCTGACTTAGCTGAAATTAGAAATCAAGTTAGGGATTCCACAATTCCTTCAGAAATGGAAGTCAGTGGCACACCGTTGGAACATTCTGTTGGAGAAGCAGGGAAACAAATGTCTCCTCTTTATTCAACTGAAGCCAAAAATGCCGTCCCTGAAAAGCCAAGATTACCATCTGTTCTTACAGAAGGAGAAAAGCAAGAAACAGAACAGTTGTCATGGGACTATTCAGACAAAGAAAAGGTGGAGGATCAATTAACCATGCTTTTCCAAAAAAAGTCAGGCCATCTTCCTTTGGTCCACAAATCAGAAGGTCAAGAAACTGAACCTGCACCTGATCTAGCTTCCATGACACAGGAAATCTATAAAACTATTGAAGAACCCTCTGGACCTTCAGAGTTTTCCTGTTTTATGGTTGACAAAGAGCCCAAAAGAGAAGAGAAATTAAAATCAGACTTGGCAAGGCAAGCAGCTCAGACTCAGCCATCTCTGACCACCTTGATAGAAGCAAAACATCCTGTTGTATTTCACCTAAGAGACAAAGCAGAGACTCAGGTTGCCTCAACAGAATCTTGGTATCCAGATTCCACACTCTCAATTCCAGATGCACAGGAAGAAGAGACTCAGCTACATTCTACGGCACCAGCACAGTCAGAACCAGAACATCTTGTTATCTCTCAGTCCATAAAAGCACCACATGGACCTAAAGAGATATTGCTTCTCAATGACAAAGTTACTGGGCCACTCATTTCATCAGAGCAGTTGCTATCTACTTCATCTCTTCTCACTGCCAGTGTGGAAAAGCATGGAACACAGCCACCCTTGCTAAAGACTGCTGCACCATTGCCTGAACAGCCAAACTCTGATATGCCTTGCCTGGTTCAACAAATGAAAAAACAAAGCAATCTGTCTGATTCTACAGAGGTGACTCCTGTGACAGCAGAAGCATCATTTCCTACTGTGCCTTTCCAAAATGCTGAAATAACAAAAGAAGAAAACCAGTCCTTGTCACCCACAGAAGTTCTGTCAAAAGAATTAGTATCTAAATCAAGGGAGCCAGAAGTTGCCACAGATACAAAAACAGGGCAACTTTTTCCAACTTTGTCTGCACAACACCCAGGTGAAGAATTGAATTTAGAAAATCAGCTGCACCCAGCTAAAAAAGCACAGTCAGATTTTGAGAAACAAGATAAATCCTCTTGTGCAATAAGTGAAGACCTACTGGCGCATTCATTGGAGTCTGAATCAAAAAAGCATTTTACACAGCAGAATTCTATTGTCTCATCCCAGCTGGAAGGAACAACTCCGTTGCATTCTGTCGATGAAATACATAAGAACATTATGCAACCTGATAAACCTACCACTAAGCCGTTGCATCCTGATTCATTGCATCCTGGTTTTGAGTCATCACGGATAGATGCTATTCAGCAGCAAACTCTTCAGCATTTATCACAAACACTTCTACCCACGGAACTAGATACAGTGCAGTTAGGAGAAGAAAAGGAGATACATGGAATCCAGTCCCATTTGCCTGCAACCAGGCAGGCTTTATCTCAGTTAGTTTATTCAATGGATACGCAAGAAAATCAAGGTATTTCACGAACTGCAGCCCAGGATACAGGACTTTTAAGCCCACAACTCAATAAGGCTGATGCAGAAGACAATGGCATTGCTGATCCAGAATCAAAGCACCTGGCAAAACAAGCAGTTGAACCTATAACTGCACAGTTGGAGACACACCACACAAATAGGATGCACTTCATGTCTGAATTGGGAAAGCATTTAGATGTATCCTTTCCAGTTCCAAGCACAGAAGGAGAAGGCCTTCCAATGCCTATATATGTAACTGCAGAATCAGAAGATGAACAGCCACTATCATCCAAAAAAGAGAGGGAAGAAACTGAATGTTGTGCACCCATAATTCCAACAACCAAATTAAAAGGTTCTGCTTCAGAAACACAGGGAAATCAAAATGATTTGTCTAATGCATTAAATGAGGCATCTGGATCACCACCATTAATTTTATCATTTGTTCCTGATAAAACAAAGCCCCAGGCAATACTTACAGAGTCAGTAGGAAGTTCAGTACCAGCCTCACAGCAATCAAATGTTCTTTCTTCAGAACCTACGGACAAAACTGAGATAGGAAAAAATAATCTCCCTTTCCCTGAGTCTCAAGAAGTATTGTCAGATTTACCATTCTTTACAACTTCCTCTATAAAGGAGGTCAGGAAAGAACCACTGCATTCATCCATGGCCACAAAGATTGTGTCAGAGGAATCTGGATCCATTCTAGATGATGCTACATCTCGAGAAATAAATGAACGATCTCCTTTTTCTTCAGCTTTGTCGGCAGAACAGGTTTCTGTTGAACCTATTTCATCTTATGGTGCTTCTGAAGAAGAGAAACAAGTCTGGTCTCATTCAGTTTTCAATGAAGAACCAGTGGATGTGGCTGCTGGGAAAGCAAATATGGAAGATACACAGTCTCATTTGCTTGTTATTCCACATTCTGAAAACAGGAGCCAGGATAGCAAGCTACAAGGTCCTGTGGCATTGCAGCCAGAGTTGGAAGATTTGACTTTATTGAATTCCACTGAAGAAAAACCCAAGCAAGAAACTCTTCTATGTTCACCTCCCACTGTACCTCAAGAAATATTATATCACCAGGAAGAAAAAGAAGATCAAGAAGGAATAACTTCTGAGATTGAATGTTCAAAGGAGCAGGATGATCCATTAAAAGATGACAATTTCTTGCAACCAGTAAAAGAATCACAACTGGAAGAAATTCAACTTTACTGTTCTGTAACTCTTCAAGATTCATCCCAGTTGGCTGATATAAGTCCCCAAGAACAAGAGGATTACTTGCCTACAACTGGAGAAGTGGATTCTGGTGTTTCTATATTATCACAGTTGATGGATGATGCAGAGAAACAAGAAATTCAGACAACATGGTCTGAAGCTGCTCAGATAGAATGTAAACCATCTGTTTTGTCAGTAAATGAAATGAAACAAGTCCAGCATCCATCATTCACCACACCCCTGGATACAAGGCATTTAGATTTATCTGATTCAAAAAAATCAGAACTCTGTTCATTTGAGGAACAAAATCAGACTTCTGAACAAGAACCACTCATTTCATCTATTCTCACTAAGAAAGTGAAAGAGACAGAAGAGAATTCATATCCATCTTTAGTCTCAACATCTTTGTTGAGCCCATCCAGCTCTGTTACATTGGATCCAGTTTATGAAGAAAAGAAAGAAGAAAAGCAGCCTTGCACACCTATAATAGCAAAGGTGATGCCAGAAGAACCCATGTCAATTGCTGCATTCCTTCTTTCTGAGGCAAAAGTGATAGATATTTTTTTTCCCCAGGCCTCAGAAAAACAGAATTTAGATACTCAATCTCCTTTTGGGGAAGCTGACTTAATAAATGGTTCAACTGTCCTTCCTGAGAAAAATGCAATGACGGAGAGGAAAACTGAATCTCCTCCAACACATTTTGAATCAGAACATTTTGAATCAGAGCCCCAGGTAGACAGGGTCATTAGTACAGAACATCTTTCAAAAACAAAAGAAACAGAGCATTTGCCTAGCATGGAGGGTACTTTGAAAGTGCCTGAAAACCATTTATGCAAAGAAAAGGAATTCAAAGATCAAGAGAAACTGAGAGAAGAAGGCATATCCACTCTTAATCTTGACCAAGGAAAAGACACAGTTAATATTTCTGGAAGTTGTGAAGTTGTGAAAACGAATGCTTCTCTCATTTCCTCTGTTGATAGAAAAAAGCTTATACCAGAGGCAGTAGAAACCATTTCATTGTTGGAAACAAAAGCATTTAATGATGCTAGAGATGTGGTTGTTGATAATGAACCTTCAGTCTACAAACCAAGTGGAAAATGTTCAGAGGACTTAAAGGTAGATCACGCCGAAAAGACAGAAAATGAATCAAAGGAACTTGACAAAGAAAAAGATATCAAGGAAAGCACAGAAACTGAAAAAGAGGTTTGGGTTATTCCAGAAAACAAGGATGATAGTATTTTTAATAACACCAATATTGATTATGTTGAAACGTACACTTTGATTGATAATACATCTTTCACCCAAACAGGAAAAGAAAAGTCTATTCAGGAGGCTCAGAGACCATTTGGTGATATAAATAAACAATATGTGGAAGCTACATATCCAGCAGCAAACTCAGAGAAGATTTTGGAGTTATCTTTATTAGAAAGAGACAATGGAATGATAGAAAAAGAAAATACAACAGCTACCCATGAAGACATTTCAAAAACAGCAAATGAAAATGAAATGACTGATGCTGTTAGGGATGATGATAAAAACACAGAGCATGAATTTAACTTAGTAGATACTAATGCAGTCTTATTTCATTCTGAGAAAGATGAGTTGTCCCAATCTCCAGGTGCTTCCTTGCCAATGGCTGAAGTAGACTCTGAGGTTCTAGAGCTGCCACCTGCCTTGGCATTTTTATGTAAAGATTTATATGAAGAAGCAGTGGGAGATTCTAAAAAACCTAGCCACAAATGTAAAGAAGTGAAGGATACTGATCTGCCTTTTCATATTAAAGATCATGTTCCTGATGATGGTATTGGAATGTATCTGGAGAAGGACATTCCCAGAGATTACACTCCAAATAACATGGAAGAATCCAAGAAGGAAGACATTTTAAAAGGTCAGCCTATTAATGAGGAAACTTTAACCCAACCAAAAGTCATAGACGATGTCTATGAACCAAATGAAAAAATGTACGAGCCTGTAGGTATTCAACCTGATCTATCTGCCCAAGTGGAGGAATGTCCGAGTGATATACTTACAAACAGGGCAACTGAGATTGTGAGTGACATAAAAATTGAGATTTGTCAACCAACACATGCAATTCCTTTTGGAAGGGGGTTCTATAGCTCAGGTGCCAGCAGTGATGATAGTGATCAGAGAAGAGAAGAACAATCCTTGTCTGAAGAGACAGGCCAATTGGTACCAGAAGAAACAAGTGATGAGGAGTCTAGTCCAATACTTAATTATGCAGCAACTGTATATCAGACTGAACCATCTGGGCAAGACGAATCAAAGAATGCTGCCGAGTTTGCAGTCACCCAAAATCAACAATCTGAAATAACAGAAGTTCATGGAATGGATGAAGATGTAGTTGTAAAGCCTGCAGAAAAAAATGCACAGTCTCTTGAAGTGTTCAGTCATACTGATAGGCAAAGTGAGAGACAACTAGAAGATACATACTTTTTAGCTGAGCCCACAGCACAAGATATGCAGGTTTTAGATCACAAGGATCTTCCATGTTGGGATACTGAAGTGCAAAAATTTGAGAACAGAATTGGAGAAAATAATGCCCAGGATCTAACACAATATGACACCGAAACAGCAGACCAGTTAGCAACAGAAGCAAAATCTGATAATCCATTTGAGGAAGTTGACTATTCTCTTTTGTCGCATGATTTTGATACCTATCCATTATACTCGATAAAAGAGGAAGAGGACAGTGACATTGATGAAGATCTAGCTGAGCTCTTGAACTATGAAGTGGTTAGCCGTGATGATGTATTTCAGGAAGAAGTCTCTTCAGAAACAGTGCCCGAAGAACTGTTCGATGATCAAAAATCCCTAGATTCCATTAGTGATACTTATGAATTTGTGAATGAAAGAGAGGCAAGTATGTATACTGAAGAAAAAGGGGCTGAATCCCTTGATCTTGAAATGCTACAAAGAAATGTATCAGAATGTGAATTTCTACAGAAAGAAGTTGATCAAGCACATTTGGATACATATTGCTACCAGTGTAAACGTCCCATCTCCTCTGAGGATAAGCTTTTTGAGGAGCATAAATACCACAATGTAGCTGATTTGGGGACAGCTGTGACTGTGTTAAAGGTAAGATGTTAAAAATATGCAGTTATACTGCTCTTTGTTCTCACTGACATATATTAGTGTTTCACTAAAATAAACAAAAAGTAGCAATAAATATCTAATGCCCTCTAGAAGTTTTGGCCTTCAATGCCTATTGGCTCCAGGCAACATGGACGTTGACAAGGTATTGAAGCTAAATGCAATCCAGAACATCTGAGGGCACCAACATGCTTATTCCTGCATTACAAGATGAATTATCAGTAATATAAGACAGGCTCTTATGCTTAATAGGATGCATAATTGACTTGGAGGCATTTATTTATTTATCATATTTATACAGCCGCCCATCTCACATAAAAGTGACTCTCTGGGCAGCGTACAACAATTAAAAAGAATAAATACATAAAAAAAAAACAATTACAAGTAAAAATAGCTATAAAAGCACCCAAAACAGGAGGGGGTAATATTAATAAGGGAGCCATCACAAAATCTCCCCCGTCCCCTGGGACCTCCAGGCCTGATCACATAGCCAGGTCTTGAGGGACTTGCAGAATGTTAAGAGGGATGG